CTTGGCCGAGCTGTTCTCGGTCCAAAGGAGACTTCAAAATGGACGAAGACAAGTGACTGGAGCTTGTTTGATCTGCTGCAGCAGTAACGCATGTGCGGACTACTGCGTAGTCATTTTCGTACTAATTTTAACCCACTAGCCTGTGTATTATCTCGAAAAGTTAGGTGCCTATTGATTGTATCGGCTATTTAAAGAATTATTGTGTGATCATCAACCGTTGTGATTTCTGCGTACTGTTGATTCCGCAGCAGTCGAGTTCTTGTGTTCGGGTCACTTTCTTACTAGAAATGTTCTGTCATGCACGGAAGCAATAATCGCCATCGCTGTATGGGAACGATCTTCATATAAGTGGATTGGAAGTCTCCTTTGTTTACTAACTGAATTCATGGGATTAGTGTGACGCAAAAGGATTCATTAAGATTCCTTCGTAAACCCCAACCCATACCTTGGGATATTTTGGCTTGAATTTTCTATACAGAGAACAAACGAAATTAACGACATATATCTTTGCGATACAGTTTACTTGATTCCTATCTCTATGCACAGATTTAGCTTGAGAGAAAATTAGGTCTGGTTATTTTGCTTTAACGTTTCTTTAACGCAGTTTTTTAATAAGTTTAATATTAAACTTTGAATTATTATTGCATCTACGCTAAATTAAATACATGGAATTCACTCCACCAATTTCAAATGACGCACGTAGCATTTTTACTAATGACATCAGATTTTCCAAATGCCTAAAGCACATTTGCTACATTTTTGACATTATACTGTATCTCTTAAGAGAGTCTGAATTATTAATATTTTCCTTCAGCGTAACCGCTGGACAAACAATTTTGTCTCCCGGTAAATTTGTCTTCATTACTGCATTCAACATAATAAACTGCAACGACTAGAATTGCAGAAAAATGTATGGCGATATAGAAAAGATCCGCAGTTGCTTAGTTGAAGCAAAATGTAATGTTATGGGTATAAAGACGCAGTGCGGCAAGTTGATGTCGAGCCTCGCGCTTACGCATTAAGTAGCAAAGTTGCTGTAGACTTTAACTTTAAGCGTTCATATGAATATGCATTGTATCTGACTTTCCCTTGATCGTGAATAAACGTCTAGTGGATTTGAAGTAGGTTAATCAAACCTATTTGGGTTTGTTTGGCATAGACATATTGGTTATATTCACCGACATTTCTATGCAAGCATCTCGTAGAACAATCTGTATCAAAACGATGTAGTATCCAGCAATTAAATAAACAAGTCTAGAGTGTCAAACCACACCGAAAACTAATGGTGCTGTACAGGGCATGCAAAATTAAACACAATGAATTAGTTTTCTAAACAATGAGATTTAAACTTAATACTAAACGCTTATTTTTAATTTTTCCCATTACGCACACTAAAAATAAATAATAAACAGTTTTTTTAACTAAATAATTAGAACCTGAAGTAATTTTCTTTCGTTTTATTCACATATTAATTGCTGTTTATTAATTTGAGAATTCCAGTAAATTAATCACCACGCTGTATTTGATATAGGTCTTTTAGTGATTAATTCGTTTTGGCCATTGCTTAGTGCCTGGCAGACAAGAGTAGTCAGGAGTGTTTATTTTTGAAAGTGTGGCCACTCCTGTTCTCTTATCATATCCATCATCGTCCGTAGAATTCAATTTAGACCAAGAAATTATCTTAAATAACACCACTTTTACTAACTTGCTGTCGTTTCTTATTTCTTACTAAAGACCAAAGTTACGTACATAGAGTGTTGAAGAATTTACATTGCCACATGACTATTTGCGTTGGTGCCCAATCCACCCATAACAGAACACGAAAGCAGATAGCGATTGGTGCTGAATGGTATTAACGTTTGAGGCCGCCCAAACGTTTTCATTGGTCCTTAAGTTAAGCAACATAGTACATGTTTTTCCAATTTCTTAACGTAGAACATTATCAATGTGATCGTGAATTGAGACAATGCTGAGTGCAAATAATAGCACTGAAGTTTGTTTTAATAATCCAATATGCAAGCAATTGAGCATGAGGCATGACGCATGGCGTGGGAAATCACGTTCTGATTATTCAGTCTACCAGCGGCTGTGCTTTGTCGTCTGTGTCCTAAATCATGGCTGAAATCCACACCATGCTCACTCTGATGATGGCGTATTAAATCACCGATCAGTGAAGGACAGGAATCTCCTCAACAACTGGGCGCCTAAGGTTGTAAGGCAAATAGAGATACCAGAGGTCAGACTTCTTCATGTAGGAAAAAAAGCTGACGGAACTCCCAACTCGATTAAAGTTGGATTTGGCCATTGACTTAGCAAACGTCGACTACTTATCAGGTTGTCGGTTAGGCAAAGTGAAAAAGTCAGACAGGAGTATATGTTCTTTGCTTTGATTTCTTCGTTTTGAGTGAAAAGTACATATTTGTGCATTATCGTCTGGATAAAACTGTGACGAATTGGCTCGAAATTTATAAAAGTAGGTAAACGAATTAAATGACCGAAGGTTTTGTCAGAATTCACTTACTGCTGGTGTGAGTTGTGTGCTCAGTCATATGAACTACCCATTAAATAAATTCAGACTACCTCTCTCAATTTCTGCTTTTAAATTTTGGACGTTTTTTGAACTAGACCTAAACAGTAAGGTTTTATTCAAATGTTTATTCACTCAAGAAGGCAATTTTTGAATTGCACAATTTGGGTCGAAATAAGCAAGTCACACTAGCTATTTTTGCCTGTGGAAAATCCCAATTTGATGGCTGTTGATGAAATTCCAACGATTCCATGAACTGTAAACTACACTACGTGTGTATGTTACTGAGTGTTGAATAAATTTTCCACCATGTGACTTTTCAGGCAGAAATCAAAGCAGTTGTTGTAAGCTAAAAGCATTCAGGAGGTTATTTGTCGAAAATCAGGATGTGTGCAGGCATTAGTCTCTGCGCGCTGGGTTGAATCCGCAATTATGTGTGTAGGCAACTCTAGCAAAAACGGAAATCAGCGGAAAACAGTTTTATGCGACACATCATGTGATGTGGTTTTTTAGTAGTTGAAAATTGAAATCACAAATGCGAATTGAGATGAATAATGTGGAGCAGAGGGATTTATCTTGGGTTTGCAACATTTCAATCAAATTCAGTTAGGCTCATTTGGCCTTGACCTGATTATTCTCTTCACAGTTTCTTTTATTCAAAGATGGTGTGTAGCAGAACAATTTGACTTTAGACGCAGTGGTGTCCAGCAGTAGGCAAAAATTCTTAGAGCTCCTAACCTCAATGATTACCAAACGCGTACAAAGCAACGCAGTAAAGTCGTTATACATTTCACTAAGTGCTTATACGCAGCACTTTGTATTTGAACATAACTCAAACTGAACTTGGAATATTTTATTGTATTTTTCAGTACTCAACTGCCAAATAATGTTTTTTTAGCGAAATCCGTGTCCTAATGGCCATTTAGAACGCCAACCTTCCAATGAATTCATTACTACCCCTTTGTCGAATTAGGTCATTTAATGACCAATTATATGCGATGACTATACAGTCACCATAAATGCAAGCAGAACTACACCGGCCACAGCTACATCTTGCCACATATAT